ATGTCATTCGGTACATTTCTGTTTATAAAAATATATAATATATATTCAATTAATTATTTAGCTTTATTTGAGCAAAGCAACATCTGTTTGCCAAAAGCTTACTAAACTCGAGCTATAAACTGGAGTGTAAAAAGTATAAGCTAGAGTGAGATAGCGAGAGAGAGAGAGAGAGACATTTATCGGACATATACACACATATCTGATTCTCTCTCCAGGGTATACTCAAGTCTAGCTCTCGTAAATTTCTCATAATTTTTATTGTATACTTTAAATGCCATTCACATAGCTGCTTGACAGCCTTGCCTTAGTTTTGTCTCTCTCCCTCTCTCTCTCTCTCTCTCTCATGCTCTCTATTGAATTTGTTGCAAGGCTGTTGCACGCAAAATGCTTAGATCGCAATTTGTATATATTTTTGTTGTTGTTGCTTTCAGCAAAGCACAAACTGTGCCCATTTTAGAATTTAGGCTGCGTCAGCCACAGTTACATTTCTCTTCCTCTTTCTCGACGTTTCATACTTTACTATTTTTTTATTCACAATAATTTAGGTGTATGAATTTGCTGCTTAAAGCTGAAATGACAGCAGAAACCTTCTATTTGGACAACTTTGTAGCCTTTGTCCCTTGTGGGGGCTGGCTGGCTTGATAAGCTTGTTTATGTTTACATTTCGGCTTGTTGATGACAGTCCCTTTGATTTTTCCTTTCTTTTATTTTATTATTTTTATTTGTGATTTTATTTAACTATCCCTTTTTACTTAGCCTCGCTTGTGCTTGAAGGTTGGGACGGAAGTTTGCCGGAAATACTAGCTAATAAATGGGCATGTGTCAAAATTTTAGGGTACTTTTTCTGCGTGGGTGTACCATGTGTGTGTGTGCGTGTGTGTTTGCACTCTAATGAAATTTACGCCCCAGCGAAAGTAGGCAACGTAATTGGCGAGGGGTCCAAAAATGATATTAGCACCAAATGCCAGTAGCTGCTATGAAAAACTAATTTATTCGTTTGGCTTGAGTTGAAAACAATTTTTTTTTTTTGCTTATAAACTCAAGTGCAAAACTCCATTTTTTAGTGCTGTTTGAGTTTTGAGTTTTTGTTGCATAGTTAATTTTTCTTGGAGGGGATAGAATGTTGTGGTTTAAATGGGGAATATATTGGTATACTATATATTAGATTATATATATTTAAACACTGAGCTTGATGAGTTTTTGAGTTTTTGAATGGACCCAAAAAAGTTTCTGAGGCTTAGCTTAGGTTTGGAAACTGTTGACAGGAACGCAGGATATTAAGTGAATCTCTAATAGAATCTGTTTAATTTATATACATATTTATATACAATATATGCATATGCCTTGGCTGGCTCAATTGTGCCTGTAAAACTTCCTGACATTTTTTAATCAGAATTTCAGACTCTGCATTGCATTTTCTATGGGTGCAGCCAGAGACAAAAAATTTCCATGTTTTACGAGCAAACAAAAATCATAAATATTATTTTACAGTTACATAGTTCTATCGATAGTTTTGCTGCCGTTGAGCAAACAATCGACGTGTGCATAAAACGTAAAACCTAACTAAGTTTGCAGCAGCAACAACAATGCAGCTCGTCTAACAATTTATCTCGTTACATTACAAACAATTTTTATTCTCTTTCTGTCTCTCTCTCTCTGTCTCGCTTACTGTATCTAACGGATAGGAATCACACATTCATCTTGTCAAATTGACGCGTCTGTTGCGCCTGGCCAGGCTATTGCAAAAAATTGATCGATATTCACAGCATACGGCCATGATTCTGACGCTGTTGATGTTTTCATTTACACTGGCGGCACACTGGCTCGCCTGCATCTGGTATGTCATCGCTGTGAAGGAGTACGAATGGTTTCCCGAGAGTAACATTGGTGAGTAGACGGGTGCGGGGGTGGCGGGTGGTGGGTGTGCGGGTGTGCGGGTCTCTAGATGAGCCGGCCAGTCGTAGTGGACCATAAGCCAAGGTCAGTTGGCAGCCCAGCAGCATCCATTCACACACACACACACACACACACACATGAATGTTGCCAGTGTGTGTGTGTGTGTGTGTTAGTTGGACAGTAATTTGGTTAGTTTGCCGCCAGCGTTGATTGTGTTTGCCTGGCTCGTCAAACGCCAAATGAAATTGTTGCCTTGCTCCACACACACACACACACACACACCCAAACACATATACGTATATCTATTTTGACTAATGTATTCCGTTGGTGAAAGCCACGTCGAAAAGTTTAAAATCAGCTCATGTGTAAAGCTATACGAAGCAGCAGCCAAAATGTTTGCTTATTAACACATACAAATCCCAAAGTTTTGCATAAAGCTACAGCCAAACAATATCAAATCAGCGTTTATTGTAATTTAAGTAGGTAGACAGGTGTGTGTGTGTGTGTGCATGTGTGTGTAAGTGTGCGTGAGTGAGCCCTAAAAAGTTTTTATTGCTACCTTGTGAATACTCTAAGCTGACATTGGGTAGCTCGCAGGCAGGCAGAGCAAATATGAGTCAGTTCGTATATTGCAGTCGGGCGTAAGCGACTGACCTGATGCTCGCTCATGGTGTGCGAACAGCTGAGTATTGTTCTGTGAGTCTCAGGAGAGTGAGGGATTTATTTGTCAAATATTGGAGTCGCAGCTTCGGCATTTCGGAGCTTGTAGTTGATTTTCCGATAGCCCAGCTCTAGGAGGGTTCTGAGAGCTCTCTCAATACATAGTTTAATATTAGAGTATACAATGCCAGTTAGTCTACTCTATAGCTGGCTGAGATGGTAGGGCCGATATTTATGTATAAATATATTTGAAACGGAGAAAATTAAAATTCCTGCTATAAGAGAAAAGAGATTCAGAGAATCAAATTAAGAATTTTCGGTATAATTTATGATCAGCGTTGAATATGTTTAATTGAATTTTTATTTTTATTTTTTAATAATAAAATTTATTAAAAATGTTTGTATGTATATAATAAAGATATCTATGTAGATAAATTTAATTTAAAAATTTTTTAAGAATATTTTGTATATAAAAAGTAGAAGGATAATACAAATTGATAAACAATATTAGTTGAAGGGAGGATTTTTTTTTATAAAAATTGTATTGCCATATATTTGCTTTAATATAAAAGAGACCCAAAATACTGTGATCAAGTTTTTTATTTATATCTATTTTTAAATGAATATTCATAAATATATAAACATTTTAATTAATTTCAACATGAGTTTTCAATTATAAATATATAATAATTAAAGGATTTGATGAACACATTTTGAATCCTTTATTTATACTTACACAATATTTCAGCTTAATGAGCCAGCCCAAAGCGAAGCTTAACGAAACTTTCTAATGATTGCCATTAAGCATACAACTTCTTCTCAGGTACTCCAGCTACCTGGTCAGCTGATTCTCTCCCACACACGGTGCTCACACCTTATTAAAACTTGTAGCAAACACCTTTTGGCAGTGCGTGGCGAAAAGCAAAGTTTTCCTAATTCCTGCAGACATTAACGAGAACTAAGTCTTTTGGCTGACAAAACTTGTATTTTGATTTATTAGGTATTATGCCCTGTAGATGTGATTAAACAGGGTATGCTGCTTTTAGAGATTTGGTGTTTTAAAGTAAAAATTTGTTTGAAATATATTCCTTTCTAAAAGACAAAATTGTGTAGAGTATCTAAGAATCAGAACAAGAACTTTTTAGCATGTAAGCAAATTAGTATTTATATATGCATTATGCATGGGTGTGTGTGTGAGTGTATGTGTGTGTCTGTTTATTTTTAAATAATTTGAGCAAACAGCAACAACAAATTGCCAGTTACTTTTCACATCAATAAACTGTGAAAATGATATACATTAAATGCTCGCACGGCCCTGTTGCTGCTGCTGCTGCCGCTGCTGCTCCTAGACTTGGCTAACACACACACACACACACACAAAGAGAAGCTGGTAGAAAGTTCACAAACTGTCATTTGCCATTTTGGCATTTGGCATTCGGCGTTTGCCTGTTTGCCCGTTTGACGTTTCCGTTGGGCCCAAGCATTTGGCCGGATTTGACACGGATTCTGTGTTGCGTGTGCTCCGACAGCTTATCGTTTGATACTGTTTGATGGACAGCTAGCAAAAGTCAGACCAAACTTGGCTACTATCTTTATTTTTTTTGGCTCGAGTCATTGTCTGTTTAATAAGCGGCTAAATTACGAGCACATACATACATACATGTGTGTGTGTGTGTGTGTGTGCGTGCAGACAGCTGGGATTTGCTAATGCCTGATTTGACTAAACAAAGTTTATTATATATGGCTTACACATAACATGTATTACATATATATATATTTTGTTAAATATAATTTTTTCTTGTACGACTTCTGTTTCTTTTCGTTCTACTCCTATTAAAAATATTAAAGTCTTGTTCACAGGTTGGCTGCAGCTGCTGGCCGAGCGTAAAAATGCCTCCGTTGCCATACTGACAACGGCCGAAACTTACTCGACAGCCTTGTATTTCACATTCACCAGCCTCACCTCTGTGGGCTTTGGCAATGTGTCGGCGAATACAACGGCCGAGAAGGTTTTCACCATTATAATGATGTTGATTGGCGGTAGGTAATCAGCCAGCTCTTAACACCCAGGCTGTCTCTCTCTCCCTCTCTCTCTTTCTGTCCCACTCTCCCTTGTTGTATTCATAAATTTACTCCATTTATCCGTTCATTTCCAACGCAGCTTTGATGCATGCCGTGGTCTTTGGTAATGTGACGGCCATCATACAGCGCATGTACTCACGTCGTTCCCTGTACGAGAGCAAATGGCGTGATCTGAAGGATTTCGTGGCTCTGCATAATGTGAGTATTAAAAGTGTTGAATATTTAAAGTCATTTAAAGTCATTTAAGCTTAATGTCAGATCCAACACTAGGCATAGGCTGGGCCCTGGATAGACCTAGCTTATTTTCAACATTGATTGCCAGCCAAGTGAGCCAAGTGATTCATAACTGTTGCTATCAGCTGCACTCGAGTGCTGCATCAGTCGCCTGGGGCTGTGCTCATTAAAACTGAATGGGCGATTGGAAAACCGCCAATGACCCTGGGTTAGGGGAAATGAATTCCTGGCGCTGCCTGATACCTTATACAGCTCATATGCTGGGCGGTTGAAATGCTCTGTTTTATTTTTTAATGGAATGCAGCACACTTTGGCCAAATGGCACGCAACATTAGGTCGGCAGGATGCCAGCGCAAACTCATAAGCGAGCGCTTGAGCTGCCCGGTTTGGCTGTGAATGTTCAGGTGGGAGACGTGACTGTATGCACCCAACCTGTTGATGGTGCAATCTTGCACGCGCACATCATATTACTGCCAGTCCGGCGAAGATTTCCGCTTGCCTGCATTAGCCACACGGCGTATACGCAATTCGCAGCGTAATTAAGTGCATTTGTGCAGCGCGCGTGCATAAACTGCATGTAAATGAGATGAGGAGATATAAAAACAGGCGAGAGGATTGTAATCATATAAGCATGACTGCTTAATGCTCGTTCAAAAATTCATGCACAGTGGGAGCTTGAACTATATTGAGATTAAAATTGTATAATAAATGAGTTAGAGCTCATAGCAGAAAACATAAAATATAAAAAATAAAATGTCAAATATAAAATATAAAATATAAA